TAGGGTTGTGGAAATTGGTGGATATGATTGAAATCTTGAATTTATTCAACTTAGACAATTATTGAAAACCTGAAAGCACCAGAAGCCGTTTGGCTTTATATAGAACTCCTCAGTGGACGTGCGAATCCACTTCTCCTCATGCGTGAATCGAACTGTTCTCGTGGAAGACTGATGGTTATTGGTTCGATTTACTCATACAAGGTCGTGGATGTGCATAGCCGAAGAGTCTCAAACCAGGATAAAACGGCCGTTCAGTGCTTCTAGGTTTAAAATAGTTGTTCAACTTAGATCGTTTGAGGATTTCAATGCGATTATTTCTTCTTTAATCATTGTCTGTGCCTCCTTTATTACTGACACAGTTAATTTTACTATTGCTACTATTCTGGCATTTCTGTTGTTGATTTCATCTCGGTGTGCTGATGTGGTATTTTCACCTAAACTGATATATATATATATATATGACTGAGTCCTTGATATTTTTTAGCTGACTAAAGTGTGATGATCACTTGAATCAATGGGATATTCGTATTAGATTTCAAGTTTAGTAATGATTATATTCTGTGGACGAGAGGAAATAGGGATTGATTGTTTTCTTAGATAAACTTGTGGGTACTGTGACAGATATTTTATGTGTCCTATACATATATTTCATTAACCCTTGTGTTTAATTGATTGTCGGCTACTGAATAAAACACATACTAGTCAAACGAGTCACATGTTCTTGATTTGAATTGTGTTGAAGTGTCGTAGAATAGTGCTAGTTGGGTATCTAGTATAGAGCAAGTGAATAGTATACGAAGATAAGTCGTTCATTGTGCGTCTTAACCAATCTACTGTCCCATTAGTGTGAAGAAGTACCAGAGTTATTTCAGATTATTAATTATATCACACATAAATTCCAATATGTAGCTCGAATTAGTTGTCTGTTGTTTAAATCGTCAAAATTACTAAATTTTCTTAAACTATTCAAGTGTTTTAAAGAAAATTAACTGAATTTTTAATGTTTTAATCAACAAATTATTGAAGTCATGAGTTAATTGTAGATAGACCACCATAGAAAACCTGGAAGCACTGAACGACTGTTTCGTCCTAGTAAGGGACTCCTCAGCAGTGGTTGGGGTCCGCGTGACTATCGTAACCAATCGTTGGAGACTATTGGTGACATGGCTCAGAATCGATCACAATAGCGTCGGTGTATACACTCTCTGTCTTCCCTTAAACTAAGAGATTAAAATCGCTTCATATCTTCCTTTCTACGAACTAATTCTTTCTTCCTTTACTATATTCTTATTGCAATCTTTCTTTTATATATTACCACCTCTGAATTAACTACTTTTATGAATCCGGTGTCCATCCTGTTGTGTTAATGAGGTATGGCAACTTGAACCGATGCATATATATGACTGGTTCTACGTTGTAGCTGACTGACTGACTGACCCACGAACCCATGACTCATGAATTCAACTATCAAAAATTACTACAGTATCCACGAAACCCCTCTCTGATTACAACCAATTCTTACTTTACGATCGTTTCATTTATTCTTGAGCTTATCAAGAAAAAAAAGAATAATTCCACTCTATTGTTATGTAAAATGACTAACAAACTCAAGTGGAAAACATTTCAGCGACTCAATCCAACAAATATTGAAATGAATGAATTTTCTTCCCCGAGTTTCCATTCTTTTCAAGAAATTTATTATAATTGTATAGACCTCTATTAAGGACATATGGTTTCTATTCAATTTTCACATGGCACTTCAACATTACAAGAAAGTGTTCTAATGAAGTTGGTACATTTTTTCTGGTTAGCGTTTTTTTAGCGAGTTAGTTTTCTACGGGATGGGGACGCTAACCCCATGCCCAACCCTCCTCCTTTATCCGGGCTTGGGACCGGCAGTAGCCCCCCGGAGGGACTCCAGGCGGAGTTGAGTTGGTACATAAGGTAGATATAATCTACGCTGTTGATTTTACTCTGTGTGTGTGTTTTCAATTTTCGAGTTACCTTATTAATTATCTAATTTAAAAAAAACCCTGATGAGTCCAAAAATTACTCATCGTGAAAGACTTTAAAGACCCAGAAAGTGCCTGAAAACGTTTTATCCAATCAGAATTGAATAGAAGCTCTATAGAAAAATGAAAGATTTCGATCGTTACTACATTTAGTACGTCTCTAGAAGTTTCTAAGGGAGTTAGAATTATACAAAACTCCATGAATACTCTCGATTTTCTCTACGTAGCTAACTTTAGGATAAAACTACTATTATACATTGCAATTTTTCTCAATTATTCAAGTTAAAGTGTTGGTATAGTTTAGAGTTGTAGGAAACGGTTATAAAGAGCAGTAACAAGCAATCCAGTAACAGATTTATCCAAAAACATTTGTCCAAGTAGATTCGACAAATCTCCATTTCCAAACGGTCTAAATTTGCGATAGAAATACTATTATAAAGAAAAATGTTATACTATAATCAATGAAATTTAGTCTGAAACGACCTAAAAAATACAAGGAGGGGAAACAATATACTTAACATAATAGTTAAGGTTGATTAATATTTCATAGACTAAAAATGAATGCATGAAGAATGGAGACGAGCGGTTGAAGTTATTAATAATAATTTCAATGGTTGAGATCATGAGTTGATTGAAGCTAGACAACCGTGGAAAACTTGGAAGCACTGAACGTCTGTTTCGTCTTATTTTGAGAATCTTCGGCGGTGTGCATCCATGACCTTGTCTCGCTAGATTCCAACCCAGGACCTATCATTCTCGCTCGCGAGCACTTAACCTCTACACCATTGAAGTGACTGGCATCCAATGGTGTTAATGTCTAACTTCAACTAATCCACGAGATTGCGCGAAACATCCACCATTGTCATCAGTGAGTTACTATCTCACAACAGCCCCGGTTGACTCATGATCTCAACCATTGAAATTACTATAATATCCACAAAAACCCTTCTGTTATAAATAATAATAAAGAGACAATAAATAAAGACAAATTATTAACAAATTAGAATGATAATCAAGACATCTATTTAATATAACATTAAAATTAACTTCTAGAGTAGAATATTACTGGGACTATTTTTCTTACTTTAACTTATCAACCAAAATGTAAAGATCATTTGACCATGGCAACAAGAAGTTTACTTCCTTTTTGTATACAAATGTCAAATTGAAAACTTTTGATGATAATAATAGGGTTTAGGAAACAGAGTAAAAGTGATTTATATTGTATGTTAATTATTTTGAATGGTCTTGAGACATCTACATTGTGTCCATTATCCATTAAATGTCTAGTGATTACACTCATGAATACTTTACTATTTTTCAGATACTGTTTATGCTGAATACGTTCCGAAAACCTTATAGATTCTCTTCTTTCAGTTTTTCCCTATGTACTCACTTTCACAAATACATGTTAATTCGTAAATACATCAGTTTTCTTGTATTTGTCAATCATTGGAACTTGGTCAATTTTCCCTATTAAGTTTTTTTTTAAAGTATAAAACTAAATTATATTAGATGAGCATGGATAACTCTTCAAATGACTTGAAATCTTATTCAGTCAATCAGAAAATAGTAAGTATCAATGAATAATAATTGATAAAGTTAGTAACAGAATTCAGGCTATGGAATATAGAACTTAATCTAATGATTTGAGAGTAGAATGTGAGGTTTGAAATGTAGAGATGGATAATGGCTAGCAGGTATATCCAGCTGATGAGTCCCAAATCGGACGAAACGTACGTCCTGGATTTCATTTATAGCCATTATCCATCTTTGCTTATATTGCTTGTGATTTAAGGCAATATCGAGACAATCAACACAGTATGCACATATGCCAACAAGAGGCCGATCATTGTAAGTCCTAAACATCAATTAGAAGATTCATACATGCAACATGAAAATAGATAAACTGTAGAGTTTTATACTTTAGGATCAGGTTTATTATTTGGACATGGAATTCAGAATTTGGGGTTAGAATAAGCATATTCCATTTGAAATTTGCCGTTAGAACTATAGTTTCCAGTACTGCTAAAGTAAGTGGTCAAATGATTACTTCAAATTTGTTAACAATGCTGAGATCTTACTAGAAATTCAATTTTTTTTCTTCATGAGCTTTGTCTTCAGCTAATTAATTACTGTCGCTTTTAGTTTCGCTAAAATGTGTGTATATTTGGAGGTCATGTTTTCGTTACTTATACCATTTCGTTTTGTTTCTGTTTGCTCTGATTCAATTTTTGAAGTTTTCTGTCTTTTTTTTTTCTTCTTGTGTTAGCGATCAAGTTTTGTGTGCTAGTTGGTGTTATTGATTTACACAATAGGAACCCATAGTATTAGAGAAATCTAATCTTCTTAAGGCTTGTAATGAACTTGAAATATTAAGATACAATATAGACCAAACTGACGGTAAAATGCTATCTCAAATCCTAAATTCTAACCATAGATCTTAAGTTCTGAACTTTACATCACAAGACTAACTACTAACTCTAGATCCCGATACAAACTCTGATTTTAAATTATAAACTCTACATCTTGATTCCAAACTATAATATGAGCTCTGAAGCCGAATCCCTAAAGTATTTAATGATAATATTCATGATACAATTAACAAACAATAATAACATATTAGGAAGATTTATTTTCACATCTGTAGACAATGTTCTATTTAAATTTAAGTCCCGTGACCTCGAGGCTGTATTGTATTTAAGCCTGGATTCACTGTTTTCTGTATTCAGTTCGGAAAAAGAAAGTATTGACTATTTCACTACCCGACCATGTTAATTAAGATAAACCATAGGGATATATTTTAAATTATCCCTTTTTCTAACTTGTATATCAACATACAGTACTCAATTATTTATATATATGCGTTTAAAGGTGTTAAAGTTTTATGTTTGCTCTCTCTTTGCTTGTACTCCTGTGTAATCTCTATGTAAGTTTCATAGATTAATTCTCTACTGTTTTTTTTTCGGGTTTCCTCTTCTCTGACAGACGTTGGTATCCCAATAGCACTGGAGGTAAACATCAAGTAAGCTAATATTTATCAATTTATGTATTTTGTCATCCTCTTTAGATGATGTTTTACATTAACTACTTATGAGTAGGTAAATACTAGTCTATTGAAATGTTTAGAATAATGATGTGTATTATTGACGTCACGAACCGAACCGAACCGAAGTTATATATCTGTTGCAAACTAGGATAGTTGTTTCGTTATATTATGGCATTGCTCAAGAGTGAGCATCCATGACTTCATCGGGGATCGAATGCAGAATCCTAGGTCTTGAAGTGAGGACTTGACTACTAGACAACTGAATTTGAGTGTTGAACTTCGATCGATTCCAGATACTGTACCACCATCTTTCATTGTCTTCAGTAGGTAACTACCTCACATCCGACCCAGTCTAATTCTACTGGTCATAAATATTTAATAGAACCTCGGTAATGAAATATATAAATTAGTCACATATACTAACATAATGATTATTATTTAATAATAACCACGTTACAAGATAGTTCCTCAATATTGCATCAATTTTTGTCAGATGCTTACATAATTTATTCAGGAGAACTGTCAGGTGATGTTGCAATATAACCATACAAATTAAGTGATGTGTTTCAATTTTCTGTTCGAATAAATTAGTTTCTAAATAAAATAGTAACGAATGTTGAGCATGGGCTATTTGGTTATTCGAATCTGTAACAACAACAATCCCCTTCCGTAAAACAAGTCAATGGTTATACTACCCCCCCCGCCCTAAGCGTATATATACCATTGGGCATTCATGATATATTGTAAACTCAATATACGATCAATACTCTGTTATGTCTTGAAGCCCTGCTGACCAAAATTACGTGTCAAATAACTAATCAGGATCCTAATTCAGATTTGGTCGATTTCACGTCTGCTATTTATTCTCGAGCTTGGTGTTTCTGACTTTGATAATTACACATCCAACCAACACTATTGACCTCGATTCGAGAACCAAGTTCTTGTTAGTTGACTATTCGCTACCTCCTCTCTACACCCTGCTTCGAGTTAAAAAAGAAAGCAACCAGTCTCTGCTATATTTATATTTCTAAAAGACGTGATTTATATAAAGACATATCATACCCCTACATCGCCAAATATGGTTGTGAATTGTGGAGACTGTGAGTAATAGACTGGGAACAAATTAAGAACGGTAAGTGGTACAACAATAGTTAGTCGGTCAAACAAAAGCTTATGATGAAAGTAATACTTAGACATATTAATCTACCTACTTAGTAATTATGCAACAAAATGATCAATAATGAGAATTAGAAAAACTAGTTCGAACTTGGATACTATTTGTTTCGTCATTAAAAATATGTGTAAATACGATGTTGTGTTGTTGTTAAGTTTATTACTGTCGATCAACATTATTGGATTAATTTTAATTTGGTTATTTATTCTCTGAAGAAGTGACTTACACTTAGTCACGAAACGTCAGAAAATCTAATTTTTCTACTCATTGGGATATTACTAATATATTATTTATTCCTTCTACATTGTTTGAATCCACGGAATAAAAATATTCATTTACTTTTTTTTTTAAATAATCTGATGCATCGATACTTTTCAGGGTTCCACAAAATCTACTCGTACTGATAGTGTAGCCATAGCTAATGAAACTGTTTCACCAAAAGTCACAACAGCATTAGTACCAGGAATAGTCGATGCCTCAATTCCTATGGATACTCAATTAACAACTCCATTATCATCACCAACACATCCAATTATCTCGCATCAATCATTCACTACAGGGGGTGAATTGAATAATCCGTCCAATTCACCAAAATCAAATATCTCTCCTGAATTAAGTACATCATCATCAACATTTCATACAATTGGTGCCTCTAGTACAACTCCATCTCAGTCATCTCCTCTATTATCAGCTTTATTATTACCTGGTTTAAATCAAGAAACTTTTCAGAGTCGTAATTTAGCCTTGAATCAAGCTAATTTTATGAAAATAGAAGAATCTGAAGGAGGAATGATCATTCCACCTGCTGGCAATTCAACAATAATGATATCAACTGACAATAGTCCTACAAATAATAATAATATTAATAATAATAATAATGCAATTACTTCATATTCATCATCAATAACGTCATCATCCTCATTGTATACAAATATTATGTCTTGTACAACAAGTCTACTTTCAAACGATGTTTTCACAACCGACTACAACAACACTTCTATCATCACTGATTCTACTACTGATGATAATGATAATAATAATAATGATATGATGAATGCGATTCTCAAAGATTCTCTTCCAACTGTTGCTATCACTTCTTATCCAACTGGCGTTGATGTTGTTCGAGTTGATGGTAGTAGTGGTGGTACGGAAGGTGGGCAGCTTGACAAAATGTCGGCTATTAACAACAACATCCACAGCAATAATAATGTAGATTCGTTAAAGTCAGATATTGAAATGGTGAGGTGAGTTTCTCCGTTTCCTATGACTACTTACATCAGTAGTATTCAAATGTTAGTGTTATTATGATTATTACTGTTGTTTTAGAGAGTTTGCTAAGATTGCTGAACTTTCACAGTTTACATCACAAGTCGATCTTAATTAGAGAGCTATTGAAAACTAAGAAACAATGGACAATTGTCCCATCCTACTTGATGATGCCTTGGTAGTGCGCATCCATTACTCTCGTTTGGGATTGAACCTTTAAACCTTTAGGTCTTATGACAAACACATGAATTTCGAATAATCTCTAGGTTCGTCATCCAGTGGTCAACTATCCCGATAGGATCATTGAAGCGAGTCACTGAAGAGCCAAATACTAGGACGAAACAGCCGTTCACTTTTCCCTAGTTTTAAATCATTTCCTTACTAATGATCAACTCGTAATGCAAGGTATAATATCATTATTATCACTATTGATAGTAGTAATAACCTCATTAATGGGAGTTTATACTGAGTGGAAAAAAAGTGAGTGATGATATGTGCAATCATACAATCAATAAGAAACATACTTTACTGCCAAATTATCTACAGTTTTAATATATTAAGAGATAATATATCCAGAAATGGATAAATCTCATATACAGATTATCATACGACTGATATCTACATTAAGCTAATCTAATCGTCAAATGATAGTTTATGTTGTCTACTGATCTTGTCAGTTCATTATTAGAAAAGAATGACAGTTCAACTATACACATTATTGACTTTTTCTTATTGAGACTTCAAAACAATCCTAATGAATAATATTCATCACCTTTTTGTTTGTTAGGACGAGAAAAAGAGATTATGTTTGTGTGTGTGTGTGGAGAACTTCTTAGGAGGGAAGGAAGGAAATTCCCATAAATCAGTATCCCAATGAAATGGCTTATTTAAGTATCGGTTTGTTTTAACTTGTCGAAAGAAACAATTTTCATTGTTTTCCCCATAAATAGCATATCTAATGGGAACATTTCACTTGTAAAGTTGTACTATTAAAGCCAATAAACGATGCTGTGTACCCAAGTGATAGTTTACTCATGAGACCGAGTCATTGATGTAAGGGCCCTAATTCAACTGATATCAAAATGACAACATAACTGTCCTATAGAGTAGTTTTTCTTTAGACACTGAACTTTGTATCAAACAGATAATAAACACTTCTTTCATTTCAATTATGAATTCATTTAAATGTTCAGTTATTTGTTTAGCATTAGGGGTAAACAGTTTCTTATTTATATTTGTAGTGCTTCTGAATCAGAGATCATCTCTAGTGGGAGTATAATTAACTCGGAACAAATCACTGAACAAAATCGAATAACAGAATTACCAGAGAAATCTTCCACATCAACATCATTATTACCAATGTCGACACTGAATGCAGAAGATTCAAGTTATACTACTACTATTAATAACAGTAATAGTAATGATAATGGATCGGTGAATGATAACATAATTAAAACATCTGTAGATACAATTCCCATTAATATTAATAATACAAACAAAACCGCGATTGCACTAATAAACAATACTAATGAAGTGATTACAGTAATGACAACGGTGGCTACCACTGCTACTATTACTACTACTACCACTCTAAGCTGTGATCCAGATGAGGATGATGGTGAGGTGGAGAATAATGATGATTGTGGTGACGAGACTGTTACTACTACTACTACTCGTAGTAGTAGTAGTAGTAGTAATAATAATAATAATAATAAAAACAGTACAATAACGAATTCAAGTTCACGAAAATGGCCATCTGTTCGTCTTGTACCTAATTTATTACGTCATCCTACAAAATATACAACAATCTAATTTTCAGTTTCACTATGAATAGAGAGGAAAAGCGAGAGAGAGAGAGGAATTGACTACATCAGATATGTTACATCTTTAGAGCTGATATTGACATTGATCCCAATTTCTCCACCATATTCATTATTGAATCAATCGTCCGGATCGAGCAATCGAAGAAAAAAGAGTAAATTATTGTTCAATCATGTGCGTAATGATAGACTACTATTGGTATCTTCAACTTCGAGTGATAATTGTCTTTTTTTGTTTTCTTTCAGAAATAAATAGTAATATTGTACATAGATTATGATGACTGTATGCTACTGTTCACGTTCTTCTCTTTTGAAAGTAAATTAACTGCCTTCCTTTGCCGTCGTCATCTTATATTGTGTTTATTCGACAATATTTGTAATGTAATGTTATTATTATTGTAGTGTTGATAGTAATAGTTATGTTGCATGGATGTATCTATACTTCTATATACTACTAATGGTACTATCTAGGTACATTTCAAATGAACGATCCTCCTAAGTTGCTGATAAAATTTGTTATTACTACTAATAAAAATGATAGTAGTAAAATTAGTATGAGTTATAATATAAGTGGTATTGGATCCCCCTGTCTATGCGCTTGAATTGTATTTATATTAATCATTAGGAAACTCTTAAATACAATGTACACTTTCTTCCAAATACACACACACACATCACTCCAAGTAGATAACCAACTTTTATTTTCACCCCCTGTGGATAATAATAACTTGGACACATTTATGAGGAAATTCTTTGCAGTAATTATGATGGATTAGTACTATGTTCTTTCTCCCTCCCTCCCTCTCTCTCTCTCTCTAATACACACATACACAGACACATTTTAAAATATCTTCGAATTATACGTGGTAATTAATGAACAGGTTTTCATTTTCAATGTCACAATGTGAATTTCTCTTTTGAAATTTCATGTAAATATTGGTTATTTCTTGCCAAAGTCTTGACATTTCTAATATATCTCTTGTAGTTGTGTAACAAGTATACAAATTTTCAACTTTATAATGACAAGAAATACCTTTCTCTTCATAAATTACAATCATACTATTTGATCTATGCTTTTCTTCTCTTTTGGAAATTATCCTGCCTCATTATTGTGTACAACAAACTAACGGAGTAAACAATCAGTTTATCTTCTCATTCTAAAAACGTCAACTGTAATTCTTGTTTGTCATAATAATTCCGCCTATAATTTCTAGTGTATGGATGTATGTGTGAATGTAAGTAAGTAAGTAGGTAAGTGTAATGCCTTTTCACCCCTCCCCCTTCCGACCTCAAAAGAACCACAAGGTGCATATCACCAATTTTTCTACATCATCCTCTAAAGCATTTGTATTTTTGTCATGAAATAATAATAATAATAATAATAATAATAATAATAATACCATAGCTTCATGTGCCTACACATATATTCTCGTATTACTTTCAAGATTTCATTCACGGTATGGAAACTTGCTTTTTCTTCTCGCTTTCTCCCTCCCTCATTCTCCTTGCAATATACTACTTATTAACTAGATTTTTAATAGTATCCATGTATGTTGTTTACTGTCTTTTCATTTTTTTTCTTAAAAAAAGACTTCCCTCTCTTCTGTATCAAGATCTTATACGTATATAAACATAATGATTTGATTTATGGTTCATTGAAGTTGTTCTCTTTTTTTTATAATGTCAAACTTTATTACACCCTGCTGCTACCTTATTTTCTATTTAAACAATGTATATTTGCATTATATATGTGTATGTGGTTTCAAAACCCTTATCTCTTCTTTTCTACTGTTTAGGCGAATTAAGAAAGATATCTAACACAATTACAAAAGTACATTTTCTTACAAACATACATATTGGTTGATACATCAATCACATATAGACGACTATACATACATACTTATATACGTTTGTATCTGGTTGTTATTTTGTTTCACAAAGGAAATATAAACAAACCAATATGAATGTAATCTTGAATCGACATGATATAACCAAGGACATTTTCATCAATATCAATAAACAGATAAATCGGTTAATGAGTAGTATGTGTTAACTATCCCGGTTTTCCTTTATCAAAAACAGAAACTGGTTCAGCTGATCATTTTGAACAATTCATTTTCTAATCAGTTTACACGAAAGGTACAAAGGATTATTGACAAGAAAAAACACAACAACAACAAAGGATCAATGTGTAACAGGATTTTTTACATCTGCCAAAATACTATTTTATGCATCCGTTAATATTTCATTTTACACAACTATATACCCTAGTCATCGGAACTTTGTCTATCCGTGTAAATGTATTATAAGACAAGAAGATATCAACTGTCCACAGCAGGAATATAACAGTTTGTTTTGATAACTTCTTCATTCATATTGTTACTGTTTTTTTTAAAAATCTCTGTTCGATGTGGTAAGAGGGTAAAATAATTATTTTTAGATGGTTACGTTCTACCTACCTCCTTTTTTTCTGTCATCATCCCCACCACAAACACTCCCCATTTCCATTGGTGTACATTTATATCACTTTTTAGGTTGTTTTAATCTTTTGTTTGCCCTCCCACCCCCCACCCCCACTTCAATGGATCATCTTTGAATCATTTATATCGTTCACTACACATTGATGAAAATGAACTAGAGCATAGTGATTATGACGAGGATACTTATAACAATTCTTATGGTGTGATAATCGTCAAGTCAATATTATGCTTTCACATGCATATACATATGGAGATAGTGGCAATCCATCAACTTACTGCAATATAACCACTTTTAATGAAATAAGACAATAGGAACAATCTTAAATGAACAAAAAATAGATAATAGTTAACAAATGTACACAAATAAAAGTTCTAACATCATAATAACCTGTCTTCTACATGTTCCAGGTTATTTGGTTACATATATCTGTCGGTATGAAAAAAAAGAAGAGGTTTTGATATACACATTCACGATCCCAATCAAACTCTCTTTTTGCTTATCCCAGTGCATTTGTCGTTCTTCTCTTTTTATGGTAATTATACTGTTATTATCACTCGCTCTCTTTCTCTCAATCAACTCCTTATTTGTCCTACTCAGTTAGTCAGTCAATCAGAGTTTCTTTTTCTCTAATACGATTTGTTTGTTTATCAGTTTATTTCCGTTTTTTTTAAAAAAAATAATAAAGTAAAGAAAAGGGGGTTCTATTCGTTTTTATTTGTTTTTGGTCGGTTTCTTTTTCTCTTGGAACTTCATTGTCATCATCATCATCCTCATCATCACTATCACAAAGAATAACAATAAAGATTCACAATTTTGCTGTGTTTGTGTTATTCTATTCAAGCATTGTTATTATTATCATTCAAATGTTTAGTTGTTATCATGTTAAATAAAATTATCCTGCCGTTAGTTATTGTTTAGTGACCAAATGGTTGTCTTTTTATATAGATTTGTTTGTTTATGTTCAGTGAATCAATAGTTGTAGATTAGTCACATGTACCCGAAGTTTGGTGATGATGAAATCATTTATAGAAAAGATGGATTGTAGTGAGTGGTGGAATCCAGAATGTAGGTTTCACCCTTCTTGAGACTTGTTAGCTGCTGAATGTAGCTGCAAATGTATTTCCTCTGTACAGGATGTATATTTACCAACCAAGATTGATTACAGTTCAGTATATTAACAACGGGATAGTTCATAAACACTTAAGAATTAAATTAATATCATCATTTGTAATTCAAATGATTGAAATTAAATTTAGCCAGATAACCATTAAAAACCAGGAAGTATTGGACAGCCGTTTAGTTCCTAGTATGGACCTCCGTGTCGGTAAACATCTGCGAACCTACTAGGGGTTGGAACTATAATCCTCAAACCTGTTTGTGATCCCCTAACGTCTAAACCACTAAGTTGAGATCTAGTGGTTTCACTACTTACCTCAGTCAGTTCCTAATATTGTTGTATTGTTATCTTTTCCTCATTAGTAATGTCATTCAAATGTCCGATATGACTGCACTCAACTGGTTACACAGTTCCTCATCATAACTTTTTATTTAGTTTAATAAGAGCATAAAATCAACTACTAGAACACTAGTAATCAGAACATTAAGGTTGATTAATATATATCGTTAAGTAAAAAACCATCAAGCATTTCGGAAGCGTAACTGTCGTCATTGGATAGTAGTACTTATTAGTCTTCATTTATCGGTAAGAGTTATGTCGAACAATCTCAAAGGGGCTGTTGGTGTTTTTGAGCTTTAATAGTTTACAACCTACATCATACATTAATACTGTTTTGAAAGTGTTGTTTTCTATGAGCTAAGTGCTTTAGTAATAAAACCTTTATTGTTTTCTCAGACAGTACCATCCGCAACACAAATAATAGAGTAGTGAGCTGTTGGGATCTTTTTGGAAATAGAAATAATCGCTCATCCTGTCCACAATGAATTTGATTGGTTGTAATTAGTGTTTATGCTTTCTATTGTTTATCCCTGATCTGATCTTTCACCTTGTATTTATTTGTCCTTCTTATTGGTCGACTAGAGTATTTCGGTTTCAATAGGCTTGTTGGATTACTGAGTGGTGTGCGTACCAAGCCCCTACAAATTGTCTACTTTCCTTTTAGTCATGATTGTTCACTATGTCATCATGAACCTAGTCTGATCAGTGTCTATAATTGTGTCTAATGGTCTGATGTACTTAGAGGTATGTTGTGGCGATTGATAACTATCTCATAAACGAAGACAGGAATTACCTTATCGAAAGAAATGTGTTTTTTTGTAGCTACTACAACTCATTTCGTATATCATATTTGACTTACTTCATTTGTCTTAGCGAACCTTGGTTTGGATAATATGAATTGCAGAGATTGTGGTATGATCGGTAATAGAAAGTGACTGAATTCGAAATTAAAATTTTTGGCTGTTGATTTACATAGCATGATTCTCCATAATGCGGATCTCGTTTCATATTATAACATGATCTTCCATTGGACTAATCAGTATAAATAACTCGATCGATCGTTCTATTCTAATTTTAAGTTGGTGTAACCATCTTATATGCCGTTAATTCAAGCCCCCAAATGTCCAATAACACTAAACTCTGCACACCTATCGACATAATTTGTCCAAAATAATAAGGTGAAAGAATCAATTCAACCATTACACAAGTTCATCATGGACAATTGTGAAGAAAAATAACTATAGATTCCGGAGCTCTGTACACAAAGAAGGAATCCTTTTTAAGCATAAAAACGATGGGCATATTGAAAACATAAACCAGTCAGTCTGATCAAAATGGCCTCTAAATCAAATATCCTTTTTACTCAAGGAGAAGTCATAAGGTGGATTGATGGATCGCTTTTATATACGTTCAGTGAGAGTATTGTCCTGGCAATTTGATTTATTATTTTTCATTAGATCTGACTCCGAAAGTAAGCAATACCAAATTATACTAAACCAAGAATGCCGTTAAGTCATCTATCATTAAAATCTTTAGATAAAATTAGTAAATGCAAATATCTATTGATTATTTTACTTCACACCAACTCTGGAAGTAAATTTTTCTAACATAAAAAACTGGGTTCGAGTCCCAGAGTGAACATCAACTCTGAGATCCAGGTGCATCTAGGTGATGAGTACCAAATAGGCTGATACGAGCGTCAAACTTGATTCCACTGCAAGCCACTATCCATCTTTGCTTATAATGCTTGTGAATTAAGGCAATACGCACAGGATGCACATATGCCAATAAGAGACTCACCAACTGCAGTCCTAAACATCAATGCGAAAATTCAAGTAAACAATACCAAATGAATTTTTATGCTAACTGTTTTATACAATACGACATATGGAGTGATCTTCATGTAATTTTATCGTATATATACATATAGAACTTTGATGAAGCGGCATTTGTGTTTGAGTGCCTTTATAATGTTTAATTTGAAGTGTAATTTCCTAGATTCACAATTAGTTGCTCCTGCTGTTTATTCAATACAACCTTCTTCAGTTTGTTTTTATAGGACGGATATTAGTATTTTTAAACTTCTGTATATGAATGGATGTCTACTACATCGTTTTTCGAGGGATTTTAAATTTAAGTAAGCTCTTTAAATTCATTTTATCAGTTTTCGGACTCCAAATAACCATTGCCTCAAAACCTCTATGTTCTCCGATTTCGTATTCAAATTACCTTACACATGTTATACATGTATGTTTATAGTTATTATTGACAATTGCTGTTACTAGACACCAGTATTTCCTATCTCACATTATATCACATCTCTCTGTTACTGTAAACCCAATAATGTGTAGAAGGAAACTTGTCTCGATCTAGTTTAAGGTATTTACACGATCGGCTAACTAATTTAGCCTTAAGATTAGTAATATGGAGCTTCAAATTATGACTGAGT